CTCTTCTTTATTTTTTTTTAAATTTTTTTTCAATGTTTTTATTTATTTTTGGGACAGAGAGAGACAGAGCATGAACGGGGGAGGGGCAGAGAGAGAGGGAGGCACAGAATTGGAAACAGGCTCCAGGCTCCGAGCCATCAGCCCAGAGCCCGACGCGGGGCTCGAACCCATGGACCGCGAGATCGTGACCTGGCTGAAGTCGGACGCTTAACCGACTGCGCCACCCAGGCGCCCCTAAATTCTCTTCTTTAAAACTAGGACTCTAACCTAGAGTAAACTTTCAGTTGAACCAAACCACCTTGATAAAGTAGAGCCATGGCAAGAATAAGCTAAAGCTGTAAAATCCAGACTAATTTCTACTTGAGTTGAGGCAGAGGGGGAAAAAATGTGTTTTTGCTAAACTAATTATCTACATTTGGGTACACATTATTTTAAGGCAAAGGCCAACAGGCGGTGCAATCCCATTCACAATAGGACCAAAAAAAAAAAATCACTGAAAATAATTCATAACAGTGAATGATCTGTCTTTGCTAACATGCTCTTTGTTGAAAACCAATATTAACCTTCTAACACTTCTTTCGAAGCAACACCTTCAGGGTATTTTCAGACCAGGTTAAAGATGCTGGAGGTGGAGGTGGCCGTGTTGCCAGCCCGAGGCCACATTCAAAGAAAAGCTAGGGCTCAAACTTGCCACTTCTTCTCTTCTCTTCCCCGCGGCTGCGTCTTTGCCTGGCACTCGGCTCCTCCGAAAGCAGGTTTCCCAGCCGTGTTTCCAGGTTAAAAACTCAGAACTTCAATTCATCTGTGAGCATATGGATCACATCCTCGGATAACTACACCATGATAAGCCTTTCATTTTATTAAAGAGGGACGTAAAGTAACGTAAGGCCTTTTACATGCCGAGCACTTTCGAACAAATATCATGTCGTCTGATACCACTTATTACCCTGTGATGAACGTCCCGCTTCACAGGTGAGATGGGAGAAGGGGCCGTCCGGCCTCTGACCAGCTTCCTGTTTGAGATGAGCCTTCTGCTGTGGATAACGTCCGTGAGAAGGAGTGCTAACCACGACACCATGGATGCCATGACAACAAGGCCTTTCTTCGCGGCTCCCCATGGTGATCAGGGCCCAGGATGTTGACCAGGCTCGGCCAACAGGGTGGCTACCGCCTGGGTTTTGGGTTTGCAGCGGGAGGCACGAAGACGAAAGAAGTTGCAGCAGCAGCAGAAGCCATAAGCCTGGCGGTGGCACTTTGTGGCCGTGCCCAGCCGTGGGACCTCTGGCCGCAGTGTCCTGCTGAGGAAAGTTGTTCTTCTTCCACAAGCCTTTGGTTTTCAGCCGGGTTTCCAAATCTGATTGTTCAGCTCCTGTCAGTTCTGGAGGCCAGAGGTATTTCTCCAGTAACTTCCAGTTGGGGTTGACACAGCCAGAGCTGGTACAGTTCCGGCAACCAGAGACCCTGACCCGTCTGTGAGGAAACAGATTCGAAGGCCAAAGAGCTTGTTCAGGGACCCCAGCTAACAAGTAGCAATGTTCTGGCTGAGAAATCGGTGCTGTTTCCTTGATTCCGTGCTTTCCCAAAGAATTGGAAAGAGTTGGAGAAGAGGAATGAGAGTCGTGTACGGGTCAGAGCAGGGCTTGAAGACCGGCACCTGTATGAACACTTACCCCCCCAAACCCACATTCAGTAACACCCATAAATGAGTGTATCTGCTCTATGCCAGGGACTCTGCTATGTTCAAATAGTATTTCAGTTAATCCTCAGATGGGGGACATTATTTTCTCCACCGGGTGGATAAACTGAGGCTGGCAGGGGTTTGTATTATAATAAGTGTTGGTGTTGGGTGTGAACCGGGGTCTCCAGACAAGGAGGCTGGAGCTCATTCATTAAGCCACAGCTCCCTTGCTGTGACATTTACTCAATCAATCGATACTTTCTCCACTGCCGATTTTCCATTAACCCCACTGTGGCCCCAGCACGACCTCATCAACGTGTCCTTGATGGCATGCTTCCTTGCGTGTGGTCTTAACCCTGGGTCCCGGAGTGTTATCATCTGTCTCTGTTCCTTTAGACTGGGAGCCTCCAGAGCACAGGGCCATGCCTCCCCACTAAGGATATTCCTTCCTGAACATACGTCTCTGATGTCCATGCGGGGCTCCGCCATGGCAGGCCACCGGCCTGGGGTCCGTTGACTGGCCAACCGAATCACTGTATCCAGAGGAGAGAAGGACTTCCTCTTGCCACAGCGCTCCCAACACTGTAAGATGCGAGTTTGTCCTCCTCTTCTGTTCAGCCCTGCCTACCCCCACCTCCTTTACAGCTTCAAGGGAAATCATGCCTTTGCTTACTGGACTGTAAAATGGAGCTGAAAATCTTCATTGGCAGAATAAATACCAGATGTCTTGCAGTCTTCTGAGGCAGAACCCTTGCCCAGACCTGGCTCCTGATGGCCAATGAATACTCTGTCATTTGTGTTTTGGAATTAAGAAAACTGAGTTCGGCATGTTTCCTACCATCACAAGGAGCAGCGAATTGAATCGGTGCCATTGTAAGCTTGATGGTTGTTGCATAGATAAAGCCCTCATTAAGTCCCTCAAGAGAAGAAAAGAATTTTATTTTGAAGATAGAGGAGTTGGGGGGGGGGGTGCTTCTTGCTTGTCAGCAGTTATAACAACAAAACAGTAAATGGAGTAAATAATTAAATAACCGCACTTTCCCCCCCCATCCCCCCACACCTCGTCAAGGGGCTGGGTGAGTTTTTAATTAGTGCTTCGTTTTCAATAAATCTGTATCTGTATGTGGTGCTGATTCTTTCTTGGATAAGGGAAAGATAATAATGAGAATCCTATTTTTCAGTACCACACTAAAGGAATGCCTAGTATATTTAATCATGCTGTAGAAATCCTGGCAGCTTTCTCTGAGCCCAGCCTCTGCTCTAATTACATTTCTAGATTTTAGTAAATTGAAAGGGAAAATGTAGGAACAAAATAATTAAAACCGAAGAGGAAGTGCATATTAAAAAGGAGAAGCTGTTTAAAATTCTTCCACACGGTGTTTCCAAGGACATCTACGGTCATTTAATCAGATCCACACCAAATCAAAGCCCTTTGTACAGAAGCTGGTGGATCACATCTCAGGTGGGCGGTGTGGTCCCCACAGCAGAATGGGAGCCTCGTTGCACCAGGCTACAGATGGGGATAGGACTCATGTCCTTCCAGATCTCGGGAGGCTCAGGGCCAGCCTGGACAAGCTGCTAGCACAGACTCACTAGCCCCGCGGGGTCCCCTCCCAGGTCCCAGGCAGAAACTGACTATATGACATTGATTAGCCCCAGCTGTAAGGGAGCTAAAGGAGGCTGTCGGTGCCTCCAGTTTCCTTTTTCTGCACCCCTTCCCCCTTCTATGCCTCCCCCTCCGAGGAGTACCCATTTTCTTTCTTCCTTTGCCCGCCTGTGAATCCTGAAGAGAACAGGAAGGGAACAGCCTCAGGGACACCCAGGAGTCAGTTACTTGAGCCCGGTTACCGAGTTACCTGCGGGGCACTCTTGAGTTTTCACCAGCACCAAAAAACCTTGCTGGCTTCAGCCGAAGGAATGAATGTTTGTTGAGGGTGGTGATGAGTGAACTCAGCCTAATAGGTGACACAAGCTCTTTCTGTTTCAAGCAAGGGAGGCCCAGTGGCTCACAGCCCTGCGGAATTGAGGACCTCTGTCTCTTGATCATGTCTGAAATACAGTCAGAGCAAGCTCTGGGAGCTTGGAGTGCTTTGTGGGTGATTTCTAGGACGGTTGAAGCTGGGGGACTGCGGGGCGTGCTTGTGTACTTGAAAGTGGAAAGCGGCCTGGCAACTGTCAGGGGTTTCTTTCCCCTCCTCCCCCCCCCCCAAAGCTCTGCTCACTGGCTCCCAGCCTTCCCTAATGAATGGACACACCAGCCACCTGGCACCGGGGCACATGTGGCAGGAAACAAGCGAGCACAGTCTCCTGGAGACAGTCCCACGGCAGCAAAGCTTCCGGAAGCTGTTCCCAAGGCAGGGCCCACGCCTTATCACCCCACGACCTGCAGGTTCATCTGGTTGCTCTTTTGGGTTCAATGCCTCTGGCATTTGAGTGTGTGTGTGTGTGTGTGTGTGTGTGTGTGTGTGTGTGTGTGATGATACTATCTCAGTGTGGAGAAGAGACAATCCCCGCTCCGGGTTACCTGGCTGGATTCAGGAAGAACAATTTTTGAAAGTTTAAGCTAAAGGAAAGAATTGTAGCAATAGCAAATATTCGTCATGGACCTTACCACTCTAACGTGGAGAGGACTTTTTTTCTCCCAGGGCCAAGAGGCTGAGGCTTTTTTTCTTTTCTTTTTTTTTATATTTCTTTATTTTTGAGAGACAGAGTGAGAGTGGGGGAGGGGCAGAGAGAGAGGGAGACGCAGGATTGGAAGCAGGCTCCAGGCTCCGCGCGGGGCTCGAACCCACAGACCGTGAGATCATGACCTGAGCCGAAACCGGATGCTCAACCGACTGAGCCACCCAGGCGCTCCCTGTTTTTTTTCTTTTTAGTCAACCTGAGTTTGATAACTTGGGAGCTAGGATGTGGGGCCGACTGGGGACCCAGGTGTCCAAGACAACAAACTGTCATTGAATCTGCTTCCTTTCAGTTAAGCCACCTAATATGCCCGCCTTGCCCCAAAAGCACGGTCCCTCTTGATTGTTTCCAAAGGCCAAAATTTAAAAAGCTACTTAAAAGTCTTCAGCATTGTCATAAAGTCCAAAGGGCTACATTTATCATCACAAAGTTGGTTGGAAAGTGAGGGAACGCGTTACGGTTGCTGATCCATAAACTGCTGTACACATCGCCGGGCTGTTATGCCTCCTCGTTACGCTGCTCACCCTGATCCCCGCTGGTAGCTCCTCTATTTGGTCCTCGACCACTCACGCCAGCCCGGCCGAAAGGGCATCGTCAACCGAAGTCTCCCCGCCCTGCTTGTCAGGCTCCTCCTCCTTCAGATTTCTCCTCCTGACTGTCCTCCCGGCCCTGGGAGACGCGTCGTCGGGACGCATGCGCAAGAGGGAGGTGGTAGGCGGAGTCTTGAGGAAGAGGAGGAGGGCAGGAGAACGCTGAGGGAGAAGAGGGGGCGAGGCCGCGCGGGTGGGCCCGGTGGCGCTCGCTGCGTCGACGTGCTGACGCCATGACGCCCCGGCCGGTGTCGCGTGTGTGTGTGTGTGAGTGTGCGCGCTGCCCGAGTGTGTGTATTAGGTATCGCGGCGGTCCCGCAGGTCCCGATGTTGTGACAGTATGAAGCGAGCGCAGACGGGGACCGCAGCAGCTGTCGCCGCCGCCTCAGTGGGGGAGAGAGTCAAGGGAGGGAGAGGCTGAAACCCAGCTGAGTGGGGGGGGTGCCTCCCTTAAGAGGTGACTGACCCCACCACTCCCCCCCCCCCGCCACACATATTCTTCTGTCCCATATCCCACATCCTGGGTTACGTGGCCTGGGAATTGGTGAGCTCAATCAGCCGCTCTTCTCCTGTCCCAAGACTAGGAGACACAAACAAACGTGCATGTCTTCAGCCCCCCCCCCCATCATCATTTTCCCAGCCCATCCCCTGCCAACAGGAGCTGTCGCCCGCGGCGACAGACTTCCATGCGCGAGGCAGGTGAAGAGCTAGGGGGGTGCTTGCTTGCTGGCTGCCCCGGGCGCATGCAGGCATCGTAGTGTTGTGCAGGGACCTGCGGATAAAGAGCTCCCCCCCCTTGGACCATGCCCGCTTCTTTCCATAGGGCTGCGTCTGATAGCAGCCTGTTGCTCCTATCCGGAAGGGAGAGTGTAAACACTGACTGAGGACTTACTGACAAAGCACCATTCTGCATCTGGTGTTGCCCTAGGGACTTGCAGGCTACAAACGCCTTCCAGAGCCAACCGTGCCCCACGCTGACCTTTCTTTGGAAACTGTCACTGCAACTTCTAGTTCCAGAGCTTCCTCCCCCCCCCCCGCCATCGTCATAAAAAAAGTTGTACCTGTAATACAAACATCCTGAACTTCTACCAGGTGCCTCAACCCATTCAGTTATTCTGGCAGGGGATTTTGGTAGCCTTTCTTAGGAGGACTAAGGGTCACAGAAAAGAAAGTAGGGGTGACTGCCTTTTAGCAAAATTTGGGAATTATCTGCATAGAACTAGATAAAGATAGAGATAAAGAGAACACAATGTAAGGGTTAGAGCAATAACTGTAAATCAAGACATCAGGGTTTTCATTCTGAATATCCCAGTTCGTGTGGACTTATTTGTTTTGAAAGATCTTCCTTTAAAAAAAAAAAAAGGATCTTCCTTAGCGCTTTCGTTTTAGCTGTACATTATTGATGATCTGTGAACATCACATGAAAACAAAAGTGATCGGAACCTACTAGTGGATGATAACTTACCCAGCGGAGGTTTTAACTTTAAGCAGTGGGAGTGATAGTTCTTGCACATTTGCAAAAACAAAGAGCAACATAAAACAAGGAACTCAGGAATATTTCAGTGATCTAGGACCTAGGTTTTCGGTTGGCAGATTCTTCACGGCCCTTCATTTGCTGCCGTGTTGCCACTCTTGGCTACTTTGCTGCTGCTCACCTTTGCCCTCAGAACAGGGCGAGGAAATGGTAAACTCTTAAAAATAGAAGGTTTGCTGAGTAGCATTGAAATGAATAGCTGACTTGTTGGGAGGGGGCGGCTTTTTTGTGTTTTCTCAGTTACCTTTGCCAACCCTGTTTCCTATCTGGATAACGGGATGGATGGGCTATGTTAGTAAGCCTTATTTTCTATTTTCGTTCCTTTGTTTTCTTTCTTTGGTATTCTGTCAAGGCTTTTTTCAGCTGCCATTCTTAACTGCAGGACCTTATGTTTTGGGGCCTCAGTGTGTATATATTTTTTTCACTTCTCCTTTTAACTCTGGCCTTTGCATGGTTCAGTTGTCTTTTGTGCTGTTTTCTGTTGCCATCGTTACAGTGGGACCCAAGGGACGACACAGAGGAAGCACAGGAATTTGGGGGGCATAACTCATCCTGTTTCCAGGAAAGAGCTGGAGACTCATCTTCTATTTCTTGTGTGAAGAATGAGGGGTATAAGTTCTTGTGATCGCTCCACACTTAGGGTGAGGGTGGTTGTTTGCATTGGCACTTTGGTGACTTCCGTC